ATCAAAATAGTGTCAAAAACAAGCTTCCATAAGGTTAGCATGGACTTCAGTTGCTCAAATGTCCATTTGAAGAATTTCAGTTTTGCACTTCTGTATTATCATTTTTCAGACCCAGAGGTTTGCTGCTTGGGATTTATCAGTGTATAATAATATATATAAATACTAATGACTGTAACAATGTAACATTATGAGCGTTTAATAGATTGAAAATGCTTATAACTTGCATTCACCACCAGCTAGCTATTCAACTTGCATCATTTAATCTCTGCCAATTCAGAATAACAAGCAGCTAGTTCAAGCTTAGTTAACTAATTAGCTTATGAAGGTTAAATCTACTAGATAACTGTCCATTTGTAGTATTATTAAATTTAAAACACAGTGTTCATTGGTCAGGTTAAATAAATGATTATTAGTCCACATCAAACTGATTTGGTATCTGAGCAGCAAACTACAAAACTGAGAGAACACTTTGTGACACTGAGACAAGTTTATGTTTTTATTAATATTGTCAGAGCAACATTCCCAATTTCCAGAATGAAACATCATAATGAAATGAAATGGCAAAGCATTTAAAGTGAAACCTTCCAGTTTCTAACATGTTTTTACATTGTAGCTACTTTCGCAGTTTTCAGCAGCGCTAATCTGATTAATAGAGGTGATTACTGCAGATCAAAAGGCAGGAGTATAATTTTCTCCAGCCTTAATATCTCCAGGTCGGGCTCACATATGGGGCATGCTGAAATGTAGGCTATAAAAATGGGGAGAAAAGGAGGCCAGGAACAGAAGATAAGAAGTTGAGCTCACACCACTGGGAGATGAAAAGTGTGCTGCTGACCTCTAGCTTTCATACCGGTCATGGTCATTTATTCCTCGCTTTGAAGTGTCTTTCCTCTGCTGTCATAGATCAAGTCAAGACACAAGGCTGGTCTAACCCAAATTCAGCACAGCCCCCTTCCCCTCTGTGTCTCACCAGCACAAAGACTCTGACTGCTCCTTCAGCGGTCGCTCGCATTTCCTCGCCAGTTTTGTGCCATGCAGTAATTTGTGATGGAATATTATTAACAATATTAATATACAGTGGGGGAGGATTGGTTTTCATCTGTCTTTGTGAAAGCTGATTATAAGGGGTTTAATTTCATCAGATAAGGATGGCTTCATTTATGAGCACGCACAGCTTTGGGCACCGAGCCTAACAGGCATTCAATAAGACAAGCACTCCCCCTGCTGTTCATGACAGTGTCATCGGCATAAAAAAAGTAAAACAAAAAGCTTCCTGACTTTTAATATAAACAAAAATCATTTTTTTAATTGATCATTTCCAACCAAGGCTGTTTGGGATTATGTGAGGGCATCAGGAAGCATCTCCCATTCTTCAGCAGACAAAGAGAAATCACTTTTTAAAGGCTTTTTGTAAATACTGGATTTTTAAACTAAACATGTTTTTGCTCCTTAATAAATTTCCCTCCTCTTCCTTTTGTCTCTCTTGTTATTCCATGATGAAACAACAGTCAGGATGTCTGGGATTGACGTTCCGTTGATGGACCAAAACGAGACCGGAATCTCGTCAGTAGACAATGGGACTTTCCTCCGTTTCTCCCCGACCTCTGCCTCCACATCTGCGGCCGCCTCATCTCCGGGGCGTCCAGGGAATGTTTATGTTTATGTATGGCTCTTTCTCGGCCTGCTGGTGTTCCTTCTGACGCTGCTCGTCATTTCCCTACACAGGCTCAAGAACATCATCTCCTCTTCTTCCTCTGTCCCCGACTGCAGCAGCGAGGGAGGAAGCTCCTTCACCAACATGGAGATATGTAGCATCTCATCTCAGAGGTCCACCATCTCTGCACTCTCCACCTGAGGGATGTGGGAGGGAGCACATACAGTACAGACATATGCACATGTGCTCTCATTCGTGCATGCCCATGCAAACAAAGGCAAGCATGCGCACACATATAAAGCACACAGAGGTCCAGCACCTCCTCACTGTGACATACAAACACAAAAACCTTTTGTCAGCCCCAAAGAAGCTGACATAATGGCATTACAGTCCGTGCATGCATATTCTAATTCTGGCGGGGCCATGCAATCTGCATAGGCACAGGGGAAATATCGCTTATAATGTGATGAAGAGGTCTTGAAGGGTGAGTGTGAACGCACCCTTCTGAGTCTTACTTTCACAATTAAGACAAATGAATCTGAGATTCTGCTCTCCCTTTGCGGGAAACAGCATAATGAGGGACTCATTATCTTTTCTCCTCTTTTTTTCTTTTTGTCATTTCTCGTATTGCACTCGTGTTCAACTTAGAAGAAATACTATTGTTTGAAGTGAAGCCTTGTACAGCATGCTTCATAATGTCTGTAGACTACATTGCAAACTCGGTATAAAAATCCTATTAAAGCTCTTTAACTTTGTACATGAAGTACATAGATGCGTCTCAGCTGTTCAGTAAGGTTTTGGAAATGAAAAAGCGAGATACATCCAAACTGTGATCACGTCAGGTTGGCTTGTAATCATTCAAAGTATGAAGAAAGGAGGTTGCACAAGAAGAGGACCAATAACGGTGATGTGGATGTGAAGGTAAGAAAGAAATGATGCTTGGAGACTTGACAGACAGGCACCCACGGACTCCAGCTCCAGACAGGCCTGGTCAAAAGTGGCATCAACTACAAGAGAAAATTCAGAGCCTGAAAGACAGGTCTACCAGCGTGACAGATTACCACTCTTGCCTGTCAATTTATAAGACGTCCGATCCCAGTCTCCATAGAGACTACAGCAGCTCTGTGCTGCCATCAGCTTTTATTCCAGGCTTCGGTTAGAGAAATGGTTGTTTACTCTGAAAATACATCATTTACTTATTTGTTATTTTTTAATATTGTGAGTTGAAGTCTTTTTGACACTGTGACAAAAATGTATGGCACGTACAGAGAGAATTATTTGAAAACGATTCATTCATCTTTACCACACTTTGTCAGAAAAGTCAATAAACTGTAAAGACCACAAAGGCTCACAGATGACAGCCACAAGCAATAAAAACAGCCAGAGCTGTCAGACTTCTTGACAAATCCTCACTGTTCTCCAATTAATCTGTGTATTTCAGGTGGTACGGTCTGACAGACTCAGCACTCCCCCATGTATAAACTTTAATCACAAAATCCCTTCAACTTCTATACATGCTGAAACATCACACTAATTAAAAAAGAGATTAGCGGCAATGCTTTCGTTTATCATTTCAATTATAATTGAGGTGTTAATGGATTTGTTTGTCTTGCAAAATTAGGAAAATGGATACTAAGCATAAGATAAAGCGTCAAATATACTGTAAACAAACTGGATGTAATTATTAGCTTTGCTGTAGTTTCACTTCAGCTCATTCTTCCCAATCCACGAATCCCTGGATTTTAATTTCTTTTTAAATGATTGAAAAAATGCCACAAAAATATATACAAAATTATGTATCCATTCATCTTTTATTATTAATATTTGGCCAATTCTGGTAATATCTTTATAAAAACTGCGCTAGACACATCAATAAGATGCCATGATTAGGTATACAAGACCTTAATAATTGAATTTTCGGTGGCTATACAGCTCAGTGGAAACAAAAGTGGGTACGCGATATAGTAATAAAGCAATAATAACCATAAATAGAGTGCGGTATTGAACGTAGTTTTTAGGTGAGCAATGGTAGATGTAGTATAGTATAAAGTATAAATAAAGAGATTAATAACTAGGGCTGATAATGTGCAAATAAAAGTAAGTGTAGTTTGTAATTGTACAGTTAATGTTTTACAATATGTAAACATATTGGCCTGATTTATGGTTATTACAAAGTAATAACTACCGCAAATATTTTCAGGTAACATTGATAGCATTAAATAGCACATTCAAATACAGATTCTTTTAAAACATGAGGTGGTATTAATTTTAATATTAAAATAGTGACCATAGCCTTATTATTTTACTATATTTTTTTATTGTAATCGGATTAATAAACACCCAGGTCAGTCAGTCAATCAGATTGTAAAGTGCTGGTCGTTTTAAAGTAATTAGTTTTAAATCTAATTTAAAAAAAAATAGAAATCAAAATGTTTCAGTATAAAATTAAGTCATATCATTTTAATATTTCATTTATAATTTTAGACTATGAAATTCACTTTTAGTGGCATACATTGATACTTAAACTAGTGTTATTTTCTACTGCCTGGTTGTTTTAACTGTTTGACATGTAAATTTTATCAAAACCAATGTTTCTCTTATTTAGAAGCACTTAAAATATAAAGAGATATATATTGTATATATTTATGAACAAAGAGCTGAGGCATGTTTAAAATCTGCAGACCTAGTATCACGGAGTCAGTGGCTTACTGAAGTGTCCATGGGCAAGACATTGAACCCCCAAGTTACTCCCAATGGCCGTTCAGTGACTTACATTTGATGCACTGGATGAATATGAAAGGCGTGTTTTAGAAACTTCATTAGAAAACAAACATTTTCTTTCTTCCTGTTAAAAGGGCATTTTTCCTTCCCACTGCTGCCACGTGCTTGCTCCCAGAAGGTCATCTGTTGTTTGGGTTTTCTCTTTATTATTGTAGTCTTTACATTATAAAGCGCTTTGAGGCAAGTTGTGTTTTGGCACTATGTAAATAAAATGGAATTTAATTGAAACTGAAGCTACAGTTGGTAAGGGCTCACAACAGAAGATTGGAAAAATGATGCATCCTGCCTTGTATTAACAGTTCAGGCTGCTTAATGAATAAATAAAACTGAATTGAATCAAATTATTAAATGATGTTTGATGAGAGCAATGTGTGGCCATTTTCATAAGCAGCCAAGCAAGCAAGACTGTGTTTTTTAAGAGTTGCAGCAAAGCAGTAAAATAATAATCTGTTTATAGTTTCACAGTGAAAGTTCACAAATTCAACAACTAGTGTATAATTTTAGCTTTTAGTTTAATTTTGCACAGAAAGATGTTCAGCTATGGGAACAAATGACTATTTTAAACTGGTGAAATAAAAAAAATAGATAAAACTGAACCTCTCTTTAATGTCGTCTGTCAAATTTCAGGTTATATAATCACTGAGACAACTTTCAGTGAGGAGGAGGACTGTTCTGTTCCTGTGTTATTTGAAGAAGCTCCACAGGAGTAGGTTTAAATGGGTTCTTTAGAAAAGAACAATGCAGGAAATGCTGAAAACTGAAAGTGGTAATTTTGTACTACTAACGGTGTATTTATGTCTGTGATGCAGGATGTTGCTATTTTCACAAACAGGAAAGAAAAAAAAACAGCAGGTAGTTCAACAAATGTCAAGTGTGTGCAAAATGCAGCGTTTTAACTAGAAATCGCATTTATGGAAGTAAGATTTCACTCAAAATGGCGATAAATGTACGTGTGATACACGTTTGTGATCAGTGAAAAGCCAAGTCATCAAATTCTTTGCATATTTTATTTTCTTATCATGATTTTTTTCCAACTCACACGTCATATTTTACATCTTTGCAATAAAACATGAATACAATAGTTTTTTTTTTTTAGGGTTTCATAGATCCAAAAATATTTAACCTTTTTTTGGATACGTAAGTTGAACCTGTCGATAGAGTATGTGCATGTGCGCATTTGATCAAGATGGCTTCACACATACGGTACATCTCACATTTCATCCTCTCTCTCCGCCCTCCGTCCCGCCTCTATCAGCTACAGAATCATGATATTGCTTACAACTGTGAGGTTGTAAAACTTATAATCACACATGAGCTCAACGTTTTAAATACAAACATCAATGCACAAATAATCCCGTAGGAAAATGGACCTAAACGAAATGGCAGCCGACCAGAAAGAACCAAGCTAATAAATAATGATATGTGATTGGTGCAAAGTGCAAATACAAAACAAAACTTTTACATTGATTTGATTCTCTCTCTTTTTTGTTTTTTTTAAATAATCAACAAATGTGGGTAAGTGAAAGTTTGCGCTTCCAGTCTTATTCAGCTGATCAAGTCTCCCGCCAAGCCTGAACCGAGACTATATGTACATATTTGACAGAACGATCACCAAATATACAAAGGAAATCATGTCAGTCTTGTGTTCGTCATCCTTGGTGGCACTGGTAAGACCTCTTTATCATTACCTTCCCTGGCAAAACATTTACCACCGTTATTACCATCAGCCTTGTCAACATTATAATAATTATTACACAGTATTTTACATACAGCAAGTCATTAATAAATTAAAGGTGATAAGCGCAGTTCGTGTAGTGAAAGTAGAAGTGTAGACTCTGAAGGAAGCAGAGCCTTATTTACATAAAAATCTGATTTAAGCCTGCTGAGGGTAAAGAACAAAAAAAACCTAAATGAATATTCAAAAAAAAAAAAGAAGAAGAAAAGAATAAAACAGGTGAAATTAAACAAGATTAAACAATTTTAAAAAATTAGACCTTCCAGCAATTTTTCAAGGGTGAATTTAAGATCAAGCCAATAGCACCTGTTTTTGAACAATGGGTAGAGCTGGTTCATTTCTGACCATTTCTTATCAGTTTAGATACATATTTCATTAATTATCCACCCAATAATCGATGTGCTGGCATCTCCTCAAATGAAAAGTAAAGAACAAAATGTTAAACGTAGCCAAAAGAAAAGAAAAGAAAACCTAGCATTTCTTTGAGGAACAGCAAATGTACCAGTCCTGTGAGTGGTACAGGTATGAAAGACCTCTACAATATCTGCTCACCTTGCCTCCCCCTCCCCACTCTGCGGTCTCCTTATTCTATTAGCAGGTTTTGGTGTGTATCTTCTGGGTATTAAGTGTCTGTGGTTACACACGTGTGTGTGCACGTACATACACGTATGCACAGAGGAAGCAGTTTCCACCAGCGCCGTCGCATCCTAAAATCAAGTGAACTTCACAAGGGAATACAGCCTAAGGTCCGGTACTTGTTTTTCCATCGTCTCTGAACCTGTAGTTTCCCCTGTGCTGCAGATACACAGCAGAATGCATCACCTCCTCTCCTCCCTCCATCGTCCTCTTCCTCGCACTGTCCTCAGTACCTGTTCTGGTGTTCGTAGTGCCAGCGGTTGAAGTCTATGTTGAATGCCACAATGCTGCCAGACGCCATGCCAGTGATCAAAGTCCTGAGGGCAGAGAACACAGTAAATCACATCTGCGAACCATCGAAACTTTTGTAACCACATCACAAAGGTGACGCAGTCTTTGTCCTCTTCCTGTTTTACCTCTGGTCGTGTGATAGGTCCATGGCACGGATTCCGGCATCACAGCCCGGATAGATGTAAAGCTGTTTGAAGTCACACGCCTGCCACACCTCAACAACTCCATTATCGCCTCCTGTCACCAAATTCTGCCCGTCACTACTTAACAGGATTGCCTGGAACAGAGAAAAAGAGTCCAAGTTAAAAGCAGCTCTTGGTTTATGGGTGAATAAGGTGAACACCAGTGTGTTAAAATGTTTGCATTCGAGTAACCCTGACAGCTTTACCCGCGTCGAATCGTTGACCTCCATTTGCGCCAGCAGTTTTCCATTTATGCTAAAGTTGCAGAAGCGGCCTCTCTCATAGTAGATGATGCAGTGTCCCTCGCTAGACACCGAGATGAGGCGGGGCTGCTGACACAGCTCTGGACCCTCCAGGGCTCTGAGCAGGTCCCCTGTGATAGTGTGGACGAGGCACGGGCCCTCTGAGGGAAAAGATCAAAGCAAGATAGTGTAAAGCTTTGGCAAAAGCAACATTCACTGTGATTAACGTTCACTGCGTCCACGCCACTGTCCTCTGATGTGCATCTTTTTTAATTCAATTAAATATTTATTTGCAAATAAACCTCTTCTAGGCAAAGACATATAAAGATGTACAAACCTTTGGCTCCACTAATAACCAATCCCAGCTCCGCGCAGACGGACACACACACCACCTCGTGGTCATGTCCTGTCAGTACTGCTCTGGGAGCAGGATAGTCACCTGAGGAAAACACAGTTAGGAGTCAAACCACTACATTTGCAGTCAAAATGTTTCCATTGCTGTAAATATACAATAAACATGCTCTAATTATTCAACTTAATGTTTAACCTTGAAGCGCATTCATGTACTCATGTCCCAAACAACGACTAGTTAACTTGCACACATTCTGTATCCACCATTTCACCACTCACTGTTGTTAGGGTTGTCCCCTATAATATGGTGCCGCCCACTCCAGTACCACAGAAGAAGAGTGGCATCTCTGGATCCTGACACGATGTAGCAGTCTCCTCCAATGTAAGACTCTGACCTAGCCAGACACGTCACCACATCCCAGTGGCCAAAAACTATCTGGGTCAGCTTTCCTGTGGAGAGCAAGGAGGTAGACAAGTTAGCCAACGTGTGTGTGCCTCTCCTTATCAAACTCCTGGAAGGCGACGGTGGGATCAAAGTGCTTCGTGATGATAACTTAATCAAGCCGTGTCTCCTTTTAAACCCGAGGATCAATAAAAACAGCATCTACCTCCATTTGCCTGCATGTATTTCCAAAAAAGCCTGCATCTCTTCTATGTAATAAATTAATAAACATGCAAAGCAAACACTCTGACAGAATCATAAATTTAAGCTTCAAAAAGGAAGCTGACAGCCTCGAGGAAATGCTTGCTGTACTTAGTGCTTGACATGACTCATAAATAATACAAAAACCAACCAGTTTCTGTAGAGTAAACGCGGAAGCTCTTGTCCCAGAAGCCGCAGACGAGGATGTAACGGTTATCAGCAGTAACCACAAAACAGTGTGTGTTAATTTGGATGCTCTGGTCCACCAGGTCAGTGATCTGACGCTTGTTCACGCCTGAGTTGTTTGCTACATGGGAAGAAAAAGATGCAATCAGGCTAATGAGGGCGGAAAAATGGAAAATGGTTAACAGTATATCTAAATCCCCAAGACATCATGTGATGCTTTTGGCCACAGCTCCCCCAATTATCTGAAAATTCTCTACTTACAGAACATGTGTATCAAAACTATGGTCTGCAACTGCTTATATAAAAACAAGAGCTGCATATAAGCATCTGTGATCAATTCTGCAATAACCTATAATATTAAAAACAGTTCCAAAAATTCCTTGATTCAGATCTGCATCTGGGCCACATCCCACCTCTGGTCAATAAAATACAACATAAATTGCATCTATAACTTTTTGAATGGATAAAATGCTGTGAATATGTGTGAGAACTGACCAATGAGAGGGTCCATCTCAATGGGCAGATGATGAGCTTGTTCTAGGGAGTATCCTGGCGCTCCACGGAGGCCTGAAGGGTTTGAGGCACAAATATTACACAGTCACACATACGCACATCTTCAAGTGGTGAAGAAGGCCTGATCTAGTGCTCTCTGATGGGAGCTCTGATGCAAGTGTACATTAAAAATTAAGTGCCTCGTGTGGCAGTCGGTACTAAAAGCCACTTAAGCTGCCCCGTGATCCTGTATAATCACATTACCATGATTGATTACACGTAGTCTGTTGCGCTAATGAGGTCATTAATAAGGTTAATTGAAGCTTTAATTAACAAATATTTCTATGTCAACATCGAGGGTGTGAACAAAACAGGACTAAAGGGCAGTATGAAACAACAAGAGCAAATGCTTCGGG